TGTCCAAGCGGCATCAGCCTCATTTGTCTCCCTCACCGGTGCCACTGGCTCAGTGGGACACGGTGAGGTGACTACCCAGTCCACCTCAGCCAAGATAAAGGCCAGGTCAATCTTTTTCTTCCACTCCGTGTAGTTATCATCTTTGAGAGTGGGAATCTCTTTGATACAACACATTAAGTTGTATCCGTCTGAAAACATAATTCATTTAGAGTGAGAATATAAATAATAACAATAACAATTGCATGCCTTAGTTCCAACGTTGGTCAAAATTAAAACATACAATTATCCTCTACGCTAATTCTACATCGCCATTGGACAGAAATAGAATTAATGCATGGCAAAACTCATAAATAACATCATAATATTGTCATTAACAACGTTGGTCAGAATAATAACAATATTATAATCAACTAAAAACATATCTATTTTTCAAAATTAAATTCTCCCGTTGGTTCGAATTTAATAATGAAAATAACAACTTTAAAATATCATTAAACATGGGCTGGAAAAATGAACTCATTTTCTTGAATTTTACCCACAGAAAAATTCGTTTTGAATTTCCCTAACCAAATTTGATTTCTTTTCAGCCATTTTCCATTTTTCAATTTCTTGAAAAAGAAAAAAAGAAAATTGGGCTCCTCTTCACCAACTTCCATCGCCAAGGCCCGGTCGGTCACCATCTCATCATTACATAAAAGTTACTTAATCTCGCCATTGACCCACCACTCGCAAGTCTCCGCTTATAGTGCGGCATTAGGCGAGGCGTAAAGGTATATATGGATATATGCCAACATGGGCCATCAAACAACATGTATAACAAAGGTAGACAAGGCATACAACCAACCTTGCAAAGTAAATCATAAAGGATAATTGCCATCAATACCTAACACAATAAAACCACAGTTAGAAGGTACTCGGACTAGACTTACCGACATAACAAAAATAAATGACACCAAGGATTATGAAGGACTTTATAGTAGAGGTAGGCTCACTCATTTCAAAAAACATTTTTAATATTTCAAGCGGCCGCTTCGCATCTGAGCAAACATATGATTAAGCGGATAATGATAACCAATGATCATTAAAAAACTTCCATCTTTTCATTATCCACTATAGCTTGTCAAGATTCGATCCGATGGTGGCGGGGGGCGGGCGATTAAGTCGGATAAACAAACCTCACTCCCCTCAACTATCGAATTATCTTGGCGCGGATGATGAAACCTAAGCGCCATTCCTTCCTCCCGTTCTCTCTCTCTGCTCAAATATGACCACGCGACATATCCGAAAAATGAAGAAAGCAGTCTAATTTCTTCGACGAGCAGCGGCGCTTAGAAAAGGGCCTCGAAGTAGTCTATCAGATTTTCATGATGTCGTCAAGGGGTTAGCCTACACAAAATAACCCCAACATCGTGAAAAGCGCAAGCTATGCTTCATAGCTACAACTACTGTACAAAAATTATCACATGCATGGGTGAAAAATCAGCCATTAAAGGCAGCCGAACTATCACCCTGCGCGATGCCTCCTTGGCACATTTTCAGCTGCTGATTAAATAAAGTTCTCGAAAAGTATCTCTCTTCCAAGCGGCGCTTAAGATAAAACCTACAACCTTAAAATTTAATTCATAATGAGGTTTGAATTGCAACTAGTATCCTTAAAAAATTTTTCAAATTACCATGCGGCCATCGGGCCAACTCTTCTCCCCACCGTCGCAGTGAGCTGGCCCGGCGATGTCGCCTGAACCTGGTATGAGGCAGCAACATCTCCTTTCCCTTCTTCCCCTTCTGGCGCGATTTGGGTCTAGTTTGTTCTTCTCGGATTCAACCGATTTGGGATCTAGGGTTAGGGTTTTGGGTTAGAGTTAGGGATTCGCTCTGTTCTTCTTCTTCCTGAATTGATTGCGGGTTTAGGGTTCGGTTTCGAGTAGACTTGAAGCCGAGACCTCCTTCTATTCTTTCTTTCACCTAGTTAGGGTTAGGGATTCATTTTAAGACCCTCTTCTTTTCTCAAGATCCATCTTTTTCAAAATGTACCAAAAATGAAAGTTGATTAGATCTACTCAACTTTGTTTTATGATCGTTCACCCGTTCTAGATCTAAAACCCTAGAAAACTGGCTCTGGTACCATTGTTGAACTTTCTAGGATCATTAGGAGCATAGATCTAGCCGGTAGAATGGTTCTATTCGGGATAAAAGACGCAGCACATCCTAATACATGTAGAACTAGAGAGACAGAGAGGGAAAGGAAAAGGTGTCGAACCTGACACCGCGGAGGGAGGTCCGTGAAGCTGCCGCCACCATTGAGCGGCCATCTCGTTTGGCGTCGGTGAAGTCTGCGCCGGACGGCAACGGCGTTGAGGCGGCCTCCCTTCCCTTCTTCCCCTTCCGATTTGGGTCTGATGTCGATGAAGCAACCGTTGGGGACGTTAGGTGGAGTGTTAGGATTCGCGGAATTGATTACGGGTTTAGGGTTGGTTTTAGTAGACTTGGTGGCTCCTTCTATTCTTTCTTTCACCCGGGTTAGGGTTTAGGTTCGCACCCTCTAGATCGAGATAGGATTTAGATCTAAAACCCTAGTGTACCATTGTTGAACTGGAGAGCACTAGCCGTAGAATGGTTCTATTCGGGATAAAAGAAACCTCGTGACTTGAGCTGCACGACCCTATCTCTATTTATTGCGCATGCGCAGTGACAGGGCCCTCCAAAGCAATAGTAGTAATGCGGCCCCCGATCGGGCGCACCCTTCTAGATCGGATTAGGGTTTATGTTGATGGAGAGCTCGGCTGGGGCCCGTTTGAGGGATTTTATTGCGTAGTGTGACAGGGCCTCCAGCCATAGATTGATCAATCAATCTATCCCAATCGGGCTTTAGGATCTTGTTTGGCTTATAAGCCGTACTTTTTTAGGTAACGAACAATATTTTTACTCTCACACCAAATCAACCAATGGTACTTTTAGCTATGGCTTATTAGCGAAACAAGTCCAAACGAACATGGCGATAATTGTTCACCACCAGCTATTTCCCTGAAGCGCTATAAGTAGTCTGGTAATAACAGTACGGGCGTGGACTAAACGCAGACTTCGATCACTAAAATAGTAGCTAGTATCGCTTAGCCGCCGGGAGTGGTCACCGTTCTTCCCTACGGCGGCGAGAATGGAGTCCTAGGGGTCCAAACTCGAAAAGAGCTAGCAAGAAGAAAAGGCCTACAAGGGTTGTCGTTCTCTAATTGCATCCAGTTCTCAGCCCTCGGTAATCACACAACTGCCATCATATATGCGGGCCTGAATTTTATTAATAAAAAATGGTGTATCAGTGTGGATCCAGAATGTGCTGCATTCTATCATTAGGCATGGATAAGGATAGTCGCACATGATTAGCGTGCTAGAGAGCTCATGCCATATGATTTGTCAGTGTTTATCCTGCTGTACCTTTATTGCACGATACCAAAAAAATTTAAAAAGGCGCCAGCTCTTATATATAGTATAAGTACACAGTTTAAGAGAGGATTCTTGTATTGATATGAATCATATGTGTGTGTGGTGTGGTGGGGGGTTGAACCCTATCGTCTTCTCTTGGATCAATGGGAGATCATGATTCGTAATGTAAGCATCCATTATATTTATTTTTTAAGAGAAGAGGGATTATATTAAGACTTGACATGGTACATTTCCAGATTACATATGAAAAAAAACTAAAATAAAAGATACATAATATTATATCTAGATTCTTCCATCGTCTTCTTCCCCCGTGGCTTTACTCGATACAACCGATGCTCTAGATGAACAAAGTCTTGTTAAACGCCGGAGCCAAAGTGCAGTCCTTATGCCGAATCCAACGACCAACCCTAAAACATTGGACATGTCACAAGATCCAACGTTTCGGAACCAGTGTAAAATTCATCTGAATCGATGATAGAATATCGACAGTTGCGTCGGCGGCGGGTACAACATAGGATGCAGATTCATCACCTCCAATCCGTGTCTATCAACGGTGAGATCAATGATTCGGAGTAACTGTCCTCGTTGGGAGTGCCCAGGAGCACCCTTCCCCTTATAGATAATGGCCACAAATTGACCGCCTGCCGATGAGATCGTCACCTGCAACAACGATCCCGTACTCCAATAATGCTTGAGACCGACTATGCTACGATTGCAGCAGAGAAGTTGAAAAAACATGTCTAAGACCAATCTGTGGTCTGGCGCCCTCTAATCCATGGAGCTTGTCTCCAGATGGAAGAACTTTGTTAGCTTTAACTTATCAAGATCTAAAGCAACCAGAGTAAAGTTTTTTCGCGAACATGACTTGGTACGTATTTCATTAAGGGAAAAAGAGTTACATAACACAACTGTGAGAGAGCTCTCATAGCACAAATTATAAATCACCAAGCCAGTGATAATCAACCTAGAACAGAGCAACGCAGCAAGAGAAAAGGAAACAATAATGACCCTAAACAACAAAAAAACCTACCAAACTCCTGTAAAAATTAGGGCATGTTTCATCCATCCCTCTAAACTTTAGATATCTAAAATTTAGAGCTAAAGTATCCAAACACGTGATCTAAAGTTAGTTCTAAATTTTAGTCCATCTCATATTAGAGCTTTAGAGCTCTAAAGTCTTTAGAGCTCTAAAAATTTAGAAAAAGAGATCCAAACATACCCTTACTCAGTGCAATTAGCTATTAGTTCGAGTTGAGACGGGAAATAAATGAAAATATGCACGGCAGGCGGGCATGGAGAGGCAGAGCTATGGAACTCGTGTCGTGCCTACCCAGAGCTTATACCATGAGAAAGAACAAAGCGGTGACGGTGTCGTCATCTCTCCTGGCGTGGCTAGCTAGCCTCTAACACATGGCTGCCCATGTGTCAGCTTGCATGCACACCTCGCATTTAGTCGGAGATCTCTATCGTCCCATAAAAACCACGAACACATCTCCCAATCTGGCCGTCTCTCTCCTTAGCTGCGCTCGCACCTTGTCTCGTACACACACAAGCGGAGCAGAGCCATGGCGCTTCTCTTGCTCCTCGCCTTCCTTCTGGCAACGGCTGCAACCCCGGCCGCAGTCGTCGCCATGGACAACGGAACAAACGACGGCAGCAAAACCGCCACGTCGTCCCCGGTCCTGCTGTGCAACGGCGAGGGGTGCGAGCCACCGGCGCAGGCGCTGCCAATCAACGGGTACCCGCCGCCGGCACCGTCGCTCCCATCCGCACCGCCGGCGCCACCGTCGGCCCCGGGCTCACAGACGCCGTGCCCGCCCGTGACCGTCGTCTGCTGCGGCGGCGGCGGTGCCGGGGGGCAGTTCCCACAGCAGCCGAACAACTACGGGCCTCCTGCCGGTGGTTACGTGCCCTATTACAGCAACGCCTCTGCCTCGCCTCCTGTGCTGCTTGTTCCTGTTACTGCTGGTTACTACGTCATGGTTATAGCTTGCATCTTTTTACTGTGGACTCTGGTGTAGTTACTCATCTGGCATGTAAAACGGTAACTTCTATCTTGGGTTAATATATACACTCCTGAGGCTGAGAAGTAGAAATTAAAGGGGGCATGTATACTAGGAGTATAAATTAAAATATAGATGAGGGAGATGTATACTCGACGTATTGGGGTTCATCAAGGGTAAACACTGTCGTGTGTAAATGGACTTACTGGCGTCTCCATTCTCCTCTGATACTACACAACAAGCCTGTAATCGACCTCGATGAGCTTCCTAGCTCGACAAAGCTGGAGATCTTGTATTTAAGGTTAAGCCTCGCAAGAGTCATGCTCCCCAGCACCGCGGTGTTCGCGTCACTCAAGAACCTCACGCTCGAATTCGTGGACCTAGCACCGGGCAGCGGCCATCTCCTGGCCCGCCTCTCCTCGTCGGCGTGCTGCCCGAGCTTGCTGCGGCTGCGAATTGCACTGCGCGCGTCCGCTTCAAGCGCGCCGGAACCAGGGAGCTGGTGCTCGACGCCGGGCGGGGAGCTCTTGCTGCTGTCCATGGAGAGGGCATATGGATGAGCAGTGGCGGAGCTCGAACAAAAATTTAGGTGGGACGCATCGCAGACACAACTTTTTAATGACAACACAATGACGCACATCGACAGTTAATCTATGGCAAATTTAAATAGCGATTGATGATGGTCCCTCTAATTTGAAGATAGTAGTCCGTTAATTCAACAAAGACCAACCGAACAAGAATAAGTGTCTAAATTAAAAACCAAAATCCAACATTCCAAGAGCTAAGAAACCTGTAAATTTGAAGAGAAAATCAGTTAGTGACTTAGTGTGTAATATATGAATTATAATGCAATAATAAAGTTATGAGGAGACAAACCACTACACCACTAGCCTACTATTAAAGAACTAATCATGTCTAGGTCTTCTTAGTGGCCTAGTAAGTCAATAGCCTGATTTTTTATGGCTTGAAATGTCTTCCTGATTTCATCTCCATCAAGGCCTCTAAAAATCTCCTTCTCAATGTAAAAGAGTATCAAGTCATTAAGCCATTCATCGGACATCCTATTACGCAAATCTGTCTTGATTATATTCATAGCCGAGAAGGCTCTTTCAACAGTGGCAGCTGCAACAGGTAGAAGCAATGCTAGCTTGATGAGGCAATAGACCAATGGAAAAGTGATGTCTCTTTCACTTTTAACCATCTGTATGGCCAAACTTCCAAAATCATGACAAGCCATTGTTCAACTCTTCTCATGTGAAGGATGAATGTCTGAAGTTGTTCTTTTATATTAGAGCGATCTAAGTCAGAGAAATCTTCTTCATATATTTTAGTTAATCGAGCAATCTTTCCAACATCAAACTTGGAAAAGGAGTTTCTTGATCAAGACATGAGAAGCAAACAAGTAACTCTGATGATACCTTATTGAAGCGATGGTCCATCTCGGTGATAATAGCATCAACAACAGCCAAGAAAGTATCAACACGGTAATGATGCTCTTGAGTGATTAAGTTACCTCTAGCCTTGATCGACCCTATCTAGGTATCAACACAGCAACGGCTCCCAACCTTCATTTCTCAAAGTCATCAACCTTGTTTTCACATCAACAAGCAATGACATGGCCCGAACAATATTTTGATCCTTTCTTTGGAGCAGCTGAGATAGCTCATTAGTAATGCGAAGCACCTTCAACATCAACTTCATATTCAAAACAAAAGAGAAACTCTCCATCTTACGCACCAAACCACCCGCTCGACTAGTATTACGCTCATCCTCATGAATCATGGACAAGACCTTAACCACAGAATTCCACATTGTCTCAATACGAGCTAAGGTTGTTAAATGAGAACCCCACCTTGTTTCTCCAGCTCTAACTAAATTTGTCCTTTGGTGCTTGCCCTTTCCTGAAAAAAATTGACCACTCTCCAATTTTTCCAAAATTTCTTTTCGATGTTTTGTAATTAGCTTATCCTTTCTTTTACAAGATGAACTAGCACTTGTGACAATCAAACTGGCATAGTTGAAGAAATCATCAAAGGAAGAACAACTAGATGTGACAGAAACAATTACCAATTATAATTGGTGGGCAAAGCAGTGAACATAGAAAGTATATGGGTTCTCATCACAAATTTGCTTTTGTAGCCCATTGAATTCTCCTCTCATATTTGAGGCTCCACCATATCCTTGTCCCCTAAGCCCTCTTAACCTCATCTCTAATGTTGGGTGAAATCTATCCATTGCTATTCGACATCCAGGATCAGCAATAACATGAAGATTTGCATCAAATTCCCTAATAAGATCAGTACCTACACTTTCTTCTTCATCCTGTGTTTGTGCTTTCTCTGTTTGGGCCTGTGCTTGTTCTGGCCTAACAACAGTTGATTCAACTTGAGAAACTACAACTAGTTCTTGATGTATTTCTTCAGATTCCACAGCCACACCAATTTGACTTTCATGGGTACTTGGGCGGGATCCAGAACCAACACTCATACTTAAAAAAGACTTCAAATCTACACATATACAACAAGCAAAATCTCAATTATCACATCTCAAATAAATTGCTAAATGCCTAAATCTCAAATTCACAATTGTACCTCTTGTCACAAGTTTTCCTTTCCAATTGCAGAAGATGCATGACTGTTGGTGTTGGGGTCGGCTGCCCTTGGCCTGCTCCTCCCTCTCGCTCCGTTCTCCTTCAGCTTCTCCCTGGCCACGGCCACGCTCGTGGCCTGCGCCTGTCGTCTGCTCGCAGGCCAAATCCTCTTGGACCTCTTCCTCCATCAGAGCAGCCTCCCCGGTGCCGAGCGGGAGGCCGGGAGCGGCGGCGTAGCGCACCTCGGGGCTCGGGGCTCGGGGTCGGTCAGCCAGGGACCAGGGCGGGCGGGCGCCGGGCGGCTGCAGCGAGCGGCCGAGCGCCAAGCGGAGCGGCGCGAATGGAGGAGCCGCCGAGCCGGGACGATTGCCGATTGAGAATTAGGGATTTGGAGTTGGGGACACAGACTTCCACTTGGGCCGGTTGCCAGGCTGGGCTTATTGGGCCGGTTGCCAGGCTGGGCTTATTAGGCCGGTTGCCAGGCTGGGCGGCTGGCTGTAGCTCTCGTCGCTCGTCGGCCATCGCGTCAGACGCCATTCGTGCCGCTCCGCTAGCTGCCTTACCGGAAGGGAGGAAGACATGGGGCTAGTAGTGGTGCTACTCCGACGGTGGCACCCTGCCGCATGGGCAGCTCTGCCTCTGTGGATGAGTCAGAAGTCGCTGGAGCTGAGGACCCCGAGCCTCCTGTGTGGCTGTGTCTCGAGAACACGGAGTGCCGCGAGCTCAGGGCGCTAACGGTCTCGGCCCCGGCGCTTGAGGAGCTCACTTTCGAGCACAACCGCAGCCCCCGGTCGCCATCCTCGGGGACTTCCTGTGCGTGTGGCGCCTCAAAGACTGGCTTCGTCACCCATTTGTACAACGACGACTGTAACAACCCAAAAATCCACACACCAAAAATACCAACTACAAAAAAAAATTTAAAAAAACTCCCAAGTGATGATGAGTGTCATGTATAGAAACCCAACCTAAGAGATGCATTAGGTCTAACCCCAACCCAAGTCAACACATAAGCATGGCATGTCATTTGTTGATTATGATTATTTAAATTCTAACAAATAAAGTATTGCATACATTGTTAATTCAAGTTGTGATTTGGATTTCCATTTGCTTTATGTTATGCTTAACAATTCCATTAAAGTAATAAACCATAAAGTAATTATTAAACAAATCAAAAGAATAAATGCTTAAGGAGAAAACTAACCCTATTTTTGTACAACAAAACCACATATATTTTTGTTATACAAAATAGCTAAACAAAATTCCCTAAACTCCAATAAACAAGTTACATCAATTTTGAATTCAAATTCTAAACCAAATTTGAATTCAAACAATGGAAAAGAAATGAAAAACAGAAAAAGGAAAAGAAGAAGTAGGCCTCCCACCCAAAGGCCCGGCTCGGCCACGTCACCGACCAAATTTAAACCGGCTCGCCAACCAAGGCCGCCTTCACCCAGCACCCATTAGCTGCCATGACTTGACTTTGGCCAATGACCAGCCCATGCTGGGTGCTAACCCGTCGCCTTTTTTCTTCGCTCATGACCGCTGCCACTGGACCCCACGTGTTAGCCGCACACCCATCTACAGTGTCATCTTCCTCACCCACGCCTCAACCGCCTACGCGACCAGCGCCCGACAGCGGTGGCAGGGCGGGCCAGGGGTCACACCTGGGGCATGGCCCTGTCTTTTCCTTGCGCCGCGCCCACGCAACCTCACGCGAGCCATTGGATGCCACTGAACACGCCTCCACCGCTCGATCGCCGTCCTCCATAGGAGCATGGAGCTCGGCTATAAAGCTCGGCCCTCGGTTGCCCTAGCGCCCCTCCATCTTCTCGCCGCCACTTGTGGCCATCCACCAGACCACCCAGCACGAGGGCCGAGGGGAGCAGAAGAACAAAGAGGGCGGAGCCGCTGCCGGGAGGAAGACCGGGAGATCACCAGAGCCGGAGCGAGCGACACTGCACGACACGGCTTCCGGAGCTACACGGCCTCGACTCTTCACTGCACCGCTATCCTCTCGCCCTCAACACCAACGGTGAGCCGTATGCCGCTGAGACCCCTCCTAAGCCCCATGGACACGAGCACGCACGGGCGCACACCGTAGACACGCGCACGGCCATGGCGAAGCCACTGCGGTCGCATCACCGCAGTAGAAGTGACGCCACCGCCTTGGCTGGCTCCTTCTCACCGTGGAAGACGCCCCGCCCGCGATCAGTGAAGACATAGGTCACTAGAGGACCCCACACCGTGCCACGGTCGGAGCACCGCCGCCACCGCGTCGACTCCATTGTGGCCAAGTCCAGTGGGGGCGCCTGGCGTCTCCTTGACTCGCCCGTCCTGTTCGCTGGAGCCACGGGTAACTCACGCGCATGCCGTGAATACCCCGCTGGAGCCCCGTAGTGACCCGCGCGCCTCGCCGTCGTCACCATGTCGCCGTGGCCGCCGGGAAGTCCCTACCGGCCACCTGGAAACCAGAAGTCCCGCCTTGAGCTCTAGACGCCCTCGCCACGTCCACACGGATCCGTAGGAGCCTACACACCCCACTGTGATGCCCCTCCGAGGCCATAGCCCCCACATCGACGCCGCCGACGTGATCGGAAGGCCGCCGCCGTGGCCAAAGCCACTAGAGGCCCTGGAGGACCCCTCGACCTGCCCAACATGCCCGGTGGAGCATTGTGACGCCCACGCGCACCATAGAACCGGCCAATGCAGCTGCACCCGCGCCATTCCCGCATGCCGGTTATGCTCGAGCCGCCGTTCGCCGTGACCAGTGACTTAGGAAGCACCATCCGTCGCCCTGACCCCACCGTTGTAGTCGCCATGGCGCGGGGAGGCTTTTCCCCACCTCAATTGGATGCCTGAGCCGTTGCGGGAGCTCGCCGGTGAGCACGTCACCGGCGGGAGCGCGCCATGGAAGAAATAGAGGAGAAGGGGCGAGTTGAGCAGCGCAGCCCTACACCCGGTGCACATGAG